GTCTGCCTTCGGCTCAGGTCATGATCCCAGGGTCCTGGGATCGAGCCCTACATCGGGCTCCCTGCTCCGCGGGAAGCCTGCTTCTCCCTCTCCCACTCCACCTGCTTGTATTCCCTCTCTCGCTGTGTCTCTGTCAAATAAATAAATAAAATCTTTAAAAATATATATATAAAAAAGGCAAGAGCACAGAATCCCAACACATTGTGTGTTTTGTTGAAGGACCCACAACTGGCTACTGGTATAGCAAGAAATGACCTTTGAGCTGTGGTACATGTATGAAGCTCAGGACCCTAATATTATGGTTCAGCAAGCTGTTTCAAAGTGTATAACTGGTTCCAGAAAAGTCTTATTTCTTACCTGCAGTATTTTTTTCCAGGAACCATCTTGGTACGCATCCAGAGAATAATCAGAACGATGAGGGATTTTTGAGTTTGCAATTTACTAAAGTCTGTATAAATAAAATTGCAGGGTATTCTCACTTACCTTGATGCTGACTCTCTATCTGAGTAGACCTAGTGACATAATTGATATAAAATTCAGCTGCTTTGTTCAAGTACTTATATAATAAATTGGCAGGCAATCGGACATCATGGTTGTTAATTATTAGAGGAAGGACATCACAAACTGTTGAAGAGGAAAAATAAGAAAAAAACAATTAAGTTGTCTGTCTACCCTACAATTCTGATAGAAACAAAATTTATTTTAGAGTTCACTTTATGTAGTATCTAAAATACATAGGGAAAGGGGTGCCTGGGTGGCTCAGATGGTTAAGCATCTGCCTTCGGCTCAGGTCATGATCCCAGGGTCCTGGGATTGAGCCCTGCATCAGGCTCCCTGCTCGGCAGCGGGAAGCCTACTTCTCCCTCTCCCACTCCCCCTGCTTGTGTTCCCTCTCTCGCTGTCTCTCTCTCTGTCAAATAAATAGAATCTATAAAAAAAATAAATAAAATAAAATACATAGGGAAAAAACCTTTATGGCCCATTTATTTAAAAATTGCAGTGCACAGGGACACTAGTGGATGGAGTGAGCAAGGAAATACACAAGCAGATTTTACATTATGGGTAAGGGTCCAGTTCTTACACTGGGTGACAGTTCAGATGTTTATTATTATGCCTCATACTTGAATATATTATTACACATATTCTTTCAGAGGAATCAAATGTTATGTAATAAAAATTTAGAAGTTGTTTATTTTTTTATCTTTTTTAAAAAAGATTTTATTTATTTGACAGAGAGAGACACAGCGAGAGAGGGAACACAAGCAGGGGGGAGTGGGAGAGGGAGAAGCAGGCTTCCCGTGGAGCAGGGAGCCCGATGCGGGGCTTGATCCCAGGACTCTGGGATCATGACCTGAGCTGAAAGCAGACACTCAACAACTGAGCCACCCAGGCGCCCC